ATTTTTTAAAAATCACAGCCCTGCATTATCCTCTTGTGTTGTGATATAAACATATAAATCGAAATCAAAATACTCATCATTGCCCAATAAAGTTTTTGGTGAAGTGGTAAAGTTTGACTCCCACCCATCGATCATACCTTAAATTCGGACCCAATTATGAGCAGGTTGGAAAATGATTATAGGTTGTTTTTGTGCATTATTGATTAAAAGATATACAACATTCCTTTTTCTAATCATCTGATTGGGCAGTCCCTTTCATTTCTTCCTAGCCATCAAATGTGAGAAGCTAATCATTTCAATTTTGATTAAAAGTAACCCAAATATGATCATAAAGCATTGAATTAATTAAGATTTTTTTCGTATATAAGTTTGGAAAAAAAAAATCATAACATTTTAATATTTAAAATGCCTAAACATTTAATAGTAATAAAACACACATTATATTTTATATATTTAATAATTGTGATTAAATATTTTAATATTTTAAATATCAAGATGTTTTATTTTTTAAAAATAAATTATAAATTAATATACAATAATAGATATTATAGATATATCCATTCAAACATAACATAAAACTTATAAAAATCTAAAATTAAAAGACTTGCTATTTATGAGAATTAGACCCACAAATTCAGAGGTAAGAAAAATTTTAACCTCTAAATCTCTAACTATTAGACTTGCCTAAGGCCGCACTTGCGGCTTCGGCTGCGTTGAAAGTGCACCTTCCTCTTGGCGTCTATGCCAAGAGTTCTAGCATAGACGCCAAGAGTTCTAGCTGCCAGTGCTGCAGCAATATTATATCTACCCCTATCCCCTAATTCCCCACTGAGCAAAAAAAAAAAAAAAGAAAGAAAAAAAGACTTGCCTAAGGCCTTCATTGCCCACTGTGCCCAGCATCAAATTAAGAAATTAAGATGCTGGAATTTATTGGTTGTGCCTGTATAGATGCCGAACCTTGTATTTATTTCCTTATATATCAATATGTGCTTCTGCCACTATGTGGAACCGAGATAGACCAAAAAGTCTAGCTGCAAAGCCTACGATACAATCCCATTCATAAGTCCGTGTGGTTGATGTTCTCATGTCATCTACACGTATTCCTGACATCCTCCGTATTCCTCAAGATGATTAATGTACCACGTCATGGAATGGAAACAGCCAACCATGTTTTCCTCGATCTCAGTTTCCCAACATTGTACAATTGACACAAAATATCTTCCAAGGGGTAGGCAAAAAAAGAGGAAGTTATTGTTGTTATTAAATTTATTAAAATTATTATTGTAACTATAATTTTATTAATTTATAATCAATTAATTTTAATTTATTAAATAAAAATTAATTATTTTATTAATTATCAATTATTTTTTATAATTAAATTAAATTTAAATTTTAACAAATTAAATTGTAGTTATAGCCATAGCAGCAAAAAAACCAGTACAAATCCCTTTGCAAATGGAGCTAGCCTCCTTCTGGTACTTCAAATCAAGCTCAACACTGATAGCTCAGTGCTTT